GGTTGTGGCGACACATTCAATTTTATGCTTCTTTGTGGTTTTTCTATTATTGCTTCTATGGAGCTTGATAGTAATAAAGATCTCTTCTTTATCGTATATACTTTCTGTTCCTATGTCTGATTGAGACCAAGACTACCTGTGGCACCAGTTTCCTTTGTGCCCCGTTAGTTTTTCTTTTCTAACTCTGCTCCTCCTGGTTAGATAGGTTTGCCAGGCGATGCACGTATTTGTTTATTGAAAACGATTTCTCGTCAAACAAGGAGCACACTATATAATGTTCGAATGGTACAGCGGTCACTGAACGAAGGAACTATAAATAATGAATTTGGAACTGATGCGCAGTATTTTATTTCTCTCAGAGACGTGAGTTTAAATAGTTCGAAACAAAAACAAAGGAAATAAAAGTACTTAGAATCACATCTATCAATGAGGTATAGAGTGTCTTATGTCACAGACGTTGGTACAGGATAGACCTAACATCTAATATATTTTTGTGTTCACGTCACGAGGGCTGAGAGTGCCCTTACCATTTTCGTGTCACTTCCAACGTTACCGATTCAGCATAGAATACGATCGCAACATTAATAGTGGTTGGAATTAAAACTAAATGTAAATATAAAATTACAAGTAAGAAAGTAACGTAATTGTTTATTACGTTTATTATCTACTACTGTCAAAAGATCGTGAACAGTTTTAACCACGTAATCTAATACATGTATATATCTTTATCACAGACGAGATATAGAGTAGACCACTCATTCAATGTATTTTTTGTCACACGATCTAAAATACCGACGTCGTCCAAAACCACTGGTTTTGAAGCGCACTCTACGCTTAATAACGGTCATTTTATGAACTGCATCAAGCAAAACGATCGATATTGGTCAGGGAGTAAATCCGAAAAGTTAGCGTCCAAGCAAGATTATATGAAATGCAAATATGTGTAACTGAATTCGTTCTAATTCATCCTATGATTCGAAATTTTGTCTCCTTCGTTATTTAAAATAACAAATACCTATCACTTAATTTCAATTCCTATCACTAATAGTGCAGTGATGTAATAGCAGTCCCAATCGATATAGTAGGATAATGGTAATGGGGGTCCCAAATTCCGGAGTCGTGTGACAAAAAAATACATTAGATGAGTGGTCAGTTCTATATCTCGTGTGTATTATCGCCTTATAGAATTTTGTGTCTCACAAACTAAAATACCGATCGTGCAAAAAAGGAAAGGTTCTGTTGTGCCCTCTATGATTTAGAGCGACGAGTTTAAGAATTACAATCAATGCAATCACCGAAATTGGTAAAGTCAACAGATGTAATATCTGTATATAAAGATACGCAAATACAGTTCAGCAAAGCAAAGAGAGGTTTCTGATGTCATCGTCTGACCAAGTGAACGGAAAATTGGCGATCACGCCATCTCCACTACTCATCGGTCCTACATTACCGCCGCTTGAGAAGAATTGCGGTGTAGGTAAATGGTTTAAACAAATGTTTTTCAATCAGCTATCGATAATATCGAGTGCTGATAAAAGAATAATAGGAAAGTGAAAAGATTATTTGCCCGCCTTGTCTTTCTACCTGGATCTACCTGGATACCCACAATACATTTCCTGAGGTTTCCTTTACAATAACAATTTACTATATTTAAGTCTTTTGGAATTAACGTCCTGTGTAGGTAGGTAAGTCTCTCGACATACGTATATAATAATAGTATGTTAAATAATACCATTATTCAATGGTAAATGTTTCTGTTGGCACTTTTATTACATAGCAATCATGAATAATATACTGTTTGCCTAAAAAAATGTTCATGCATTATACAAAGTTTTTAAATTTAGAAACAATTTATATGAAATTATTGTTGTTATCTGTAATAGCTAGAGATTAAAGATTGCAGACATTTTATGCTTTTACATTTTGCGCTTAAATTATAAAATTTTTTCCCTTGTAACCGGTATTTGATGGAAAATTTCACACATATGAATATATTAGAAATTAAAATTTTCAAAAAAAAAAAACTAGAAGAATACGAAATAAGTAGAATTTTTAACTAGTAAAGAGAGCATCGCAGTACAGAGATCACCAATTTTATTTGAACCTATTTTTATGGATGTAAGAAAAAAGCATATGATGACGTATCTAATTGCTTATGTCGCTATTTCTGTTAAGTACAAACGTGTAAAATAGTAGTTTTGATAAAGTAAAAGTATCATTGATTAGTTTACAAAAAAAGTAAGGTCACATACTTCTATTTATAAGGATTATCTACCTACTTAAAAATATCGCATAGTTCTATGTACAATAATGCAATAACAAGTACGAAATCAGAGAGCAATAAAACTTATAAAAGTATAGAAGCAGCAAATTATAAACCTAGTCACATTAAATAACTATACTAATAACACTATTAAGAATATGTAGTGCTTACAGCAATGACAGTAATTTAAAACATTTTTGGTTAAAATACCATGTATTGGCACAAGCTATTAAATACGTATCTATTTATCTTTGACTTAAATTCATAAAAAATTGATACTAGTGATCATACTACTACGAATTCTCTCTTTGTGTGCCATGTGTCGATAAACAATTGTACTCGCCACCGCAGTGTCTGAAAATATTTTCCTTCCTGTTCCCTTTATTTCTACATGGGTTCAGACAAACTTGTGCTTATACCACAAAACAAGGATTTCAATGAAAGCTCATTGATGTATACGTATATATCACAAATAAGGACAACACTTTATTATTATTATTCTACTTATTGTGTCAGCTTCATTTTTTGAAGGGCAGGTAGAAAAAGCGAGAAAAATTACTAAAGCAAATGTGACGGAATTTACGAAAAGCAACTACGGCATTACTTTTATTACGTCATCCTACGTATAAACACCAAACTCATGTTCGGTACGCGTATTTTCGTTTTCACTGCTCAATTACAATAATATACTTTTGTGTGTGTATGTGTATGTGTATATATATATGTCGTATATATTTATGAGATACATATATGTATATTTAGATATAGATATACCATAAATATATATGAGTGTATATGTCTGTGTACATGTGTTAACTTTTCTCTCTCTATTATAATTGTAAAATACTGACATGCATGTACTGCGGAGTCGTGACTTAAATCGTACGCATTGCTCGCTTCTATGTAACCTGCAATTGTCGCACATGCCTCGCGAGCGAGATCGAGGTGTACGAGGTCGGTTGCTTAACAAGAAATGAAACGTTTGTTTTCTATTTTTACGCGAGCCCAGACGACGTGTACGCGTGCGATCTCGCCACGCTCCGATTTCAAAGAATTGTTTTGTACAAGAGTGCTATATAAATTCTGTCGGGAGAAAAAAAGATAGACGAAGTAGACGACGGACGACGGACGACGAACGTTTTGTTCGATTAAAAGAATACAATTGGTCTGTTTTCCGGAAGAATTTCCATAATTTCACCGGTCCATCGACTCGAATTAGGTAGAGTAGTTCTCAAAAGAACAGAACTTCCAGTATCGTGATTACTACAAGGTTTTATTATCAATGGATCGAAAAAATGGCAAATAACGATGCACGAACGACGACGAAACACACAGGTAGTACAGCAGAACGATGTTACACGGCTCAATAAGAACTTTGTTTTTATTGTTCATCAAAATAATTTAGTACCACATAGAGTCAAATTTTTTGGCTCTCTCGGGGAGATGGA